ATTACCTCCTCTCCTAGGTTCACGAAACGGTCGTCCATAAAATGCATTGCTGTTCTGTTGTAAGTAATCTTAAAGATTCCTAAATGCATCTTCTTTCGGAAGGCCAAATAAAGTGCTTTTGCTTTCGCCTAGAAACACACAGCGTCTCCCTGACATGGCTGCTTCAACACTAACTGCGGTTACTGAAACCACGCCTTCTTTCTTTGCGAGCCCATTTGGGCGGCATTATGCAAATATTTCCACATAGTGACGTAGATATGTGGGGGCGTGTTAGAACGAGCCATTTTAGGGGGGCGTGGCAGAGTCTTAACTTTGATAAAGAATATCTCTTTGATTTTGAGACTTTAGTCTTTGCAACTTCAGGGATCTTATCTATGCACAATCAGCTTGTAACACTCCAAAGAGAAAGGAAAACTTGAAATCGCATCATATGACCCCTTTAATTGCTCAATTTAGAGATTTCATTTCCACCTCACTAATCCACAGCTTAGTGTGGGTGATAACCTAACTGCCAGCCTAACCCTGTGACTCTGGAGCTTTTGACTCCTTAATGGTATTCTGTTCCTGATAGACCACTAATATAATCGAACCTAATAACCAAAAGTGATTGCTAATTCATTGGCCCTTGCTCTGACCTGCCTGCTACCTTCTGTGAATATGACACCATGGAGAATATCTTTATTAATGAACAGCATTCATAAAACGCTGCTTCATTTAAGCAATTATTCCATGTAGCTAATTTAAACAGACCATTTTAGGTCAGAGGAGTCTATAATGATTGGTTTATTTGGATTTGCAGAGCTACATCAGCTTAATTTCAATTTACTCTAAGTGTCTGCTCAGTGCGTTGTCATAGCAACAGACAAATGTGTCATTAAGACTAGCAAATGCACGACTTTCATTTCTGATATGAAACAAATGTTGGCACATTCGGAAAATGAGCAACTCCAAGAGAGCGCAACATAAACAGCTCGTTTCCAATTGACCGCAGCATCAGCATTAACATTTCCGTTCTGATTATTCATTCACACAAGTGCTGCAAGAAGAGTGTGTATTTAGCCCCTCCCATTCCACACTGGACCATCTTACCCCTGTGTCTTCTGGTACCAATCGGCTCGGATGAGGTTTGAGGTAAGAATGATGACTCTCAATCCCTCCTCGTACCAAAGCAGCATCATTTTCCTGCAAAAGGCAACTATGACTTTAATACAGCTGATCTTATATAATGACATTCATTTGATCTAACCACTTTCTTTCATTTCTGTCCAACAAACAGTGTGAAACACTACCAATGGCATATTTAGCAAAGACTCAGCATTACTTCCCTGCATAATAACATTGATTTGACCTAAAATCCATGTCTTTTTGTGTCAAGCGGTATAAAAGAGTACATTTAAACAGTGAGTCACATTTATTAAGCCTTCAGCTTTTGTGTTGTATTAATCGTAACAAGATCAATTCTATGCTGTTCTTTGTTTGAAAAAATGTATTAATTAAACAAAAAACTCTCCATGCTCTTTAGAGAGGGATGTTTAGAACTAATTTAAAGGCAAATTAGCACATGAAGACTTGACAAAGGTGTTCGAGAAGGATTATACTGCCAATCTTTTTGTTCTTTTGCTTCCTTTTTTGTTGAATTTATATGAAATGAGACAAGCCATTTAACTTGCACCTCTGGAGTCAAAAATGCTCAATTCTGTTATGTCTTTCTCTGTTGAATAAAACATGAAAGATTCTTGTGAGAGAAAACAGTGATCTAAGAATACATTACATTAAAATTCAATACTGCGCCTGTTTAACATCTAATTTCAACTCATCACAACAGATGCTCAGCTGATAATCTGCACGTCGGCACGGACTGCCAAGGCGTTAATACGCTCTCAAGTAGCTCGAGGAGTGCTACATTCCATATGCATTATGCTACTGAATGCTTATAAAACCTAAATCCTGATCAAGGTATTAATGAAATTATATAAGTGAGCTACAACACTGCCAATGTTGCATTGTTACTTAACCAAGCCACCACTAGTACCACTCCAATATATGATATGCTTTCTGAGTGTTTAATTTCATAACTGTGAGCATTAATATGTTGGAAAATTCTCAAATTACTTAATCCATAATCTGTGATGGTACTGATGGGATATGACTTACAGCTGACATTTCAGTTCATCCCAAAGGAGTGCAGTGGCTCAGGTCTGGACTTTGTGCAGGCCAGTAAAGCTCTACACACCAGACTCAGTTAAGCATTTAACTAGTGGCATCCTATGACAGTGACACGTTAAAAGTCTCTGAGCTTTTTGGTATGACCCATTCTACTGAAAAAGCTTATCATATGGCTCAATGCTTGGTTTTACGCACCTGTTTTATGTCTGTACATATTTGTTTAACAATGTAGTATCCAGGATTTTTACTAGAAACTGCAAGCTTAAGTATTATTTTCTTCACCCACTGTCTCACTAAAATTATACAGACAAATATAATGTCCAACACTCACGTATGATGTGTGCCAAATGCAATATCCAGTTTGGCCTGTCAAAAACAAGATTTTTTAAGCCTTAAGCCCTTAAAATATTTTTTTCAATATACACAGTTACTGAGAAACACATTTTTTTTAGAGAACCTCAGACTACCATAAAGTTCAATGCTTCCCTCTAGTGAAAAAAGTTGATTACTGCAATGACAGAACCTGGCAGAAAGGAATATGAGGATATGGTTTGGCTTGCTCTAACCGAACCTTGGACTCTCTTTTTTCTCCATGAACGAGTATGACTGGCTTGTCCCTAAAGAACAACAACAACAACAAAAGTACTCAGTTTACGCACAAAAGACCTTGTTGGCATGTGTTCAGTGTGGTGAAATGGTGTTTTATGTAGCTCTCTTACAGTGTGCAATTCTACATCAAATCCAAACAGTTTAAAGGTGAGATTTCATCCTACCTGAATTCAGGCGGATACTGCTCCACCATCCATGGAATGTCAAAGCAGTAATTAAACTACAAAAGAAGAAAGGTGTCGATCAGGATAAAAACATTACAAAATTTTGTCTAGTTGGTAGTAGACTTCTTAATTGCAACTTCATTCATTAACACAATACCTGTACAGACTTTCAGGGTTCCAAACATTGGAGAAAGTATCTCTGATTATAGTACAGAAGGAGGAAACAGATTATTAGAAGATGATTAGAAATGTATCAGGACTTATTTATTTAGTAGACAAACTCTTTACATACCTTTGATATGTACCGCTCCAGTGTTGAACTTTTTTGGTATCCCAGTGACTTTAAGTAAAAACGATACATGTCACTCATAGACAATAAATTTGTCTCAAAGAAATCGGCTGGCTCTTCTTTATAATAACTAGTGCCGTGTGGACTTGGAGGACGTTTGTCTTCAGTCTTCTTCATCTTAGGACTTACTTTAGACTTCTTGGGCTCATTTTTCGAGGCAGATGTTGGAGTTTCATCTTCACTGCTTGAGAGGTTCCAGCCTGCCTCCTCTGTTTCTCTCTTTCTCTTGGTGAAGGGTTGCTTTCATATTTTACAGGGTTGGTTTGATTCACATGTGTGGCTGTCCTGGCTTCAGATCCCATGGGGGGAGCGGACGGTTGATTCACAGAATGGGTGTCCTCATTGCTTTTTGGACTCAGCTTGGGCTCTAGCATGAAGAAAGTGGTGATCTTATCAGGTTTTCTTTCTAAATCAGGGTTAATACTTGGTTTGTTTGAATCCTTCTGAGGTGTTGGAGGAATAATGTTGTCCTCGTCTTCACTATCTGATATGGTCCACTTGCCATGCTGACTGTCCTGGGACATTTTTGTTCAGCTGTGGATCACAGTATTATTTTACTTTTGTAGTTGCACACAGTAAACCATATGCTGTAAACTTTCATACTATATAATGTATACAACGCTGTCTGTTTTTGTCTCAAAATGGTTAAAATGCGTTGAAAAAACAACTTTTGTATTTGCACAGGTAGATGGAGCTTTGTACAAGAGACAAATGCTTGCATCGCGTCACATGAACATGTGATAAATCGTAGAGCTTAACTACACAGTATACATAAGAATACCAATGTAGTTCGACGTAAATTAACTTAGATTTACAAAGAGGCGGGAAAATGAAACGTACAGGCTACAAGAATATATATATATATATATTTTAAATGTTACAGTTATAAAGAAAGATAAGCGCTGAATATATACAACTACAAAACTGCAAGATCCTTGTGCATTTGAAACTCATATCATCATAAACACCACAACAGCTCGTTGTGTTTTGATTCGGCATTGCGGAGACGCCACAATGTTCTTCAAAATAAAAATCTGAGATACTCGACATTGAACAATCTTATAATTTCGACTTTACTTTCATAATTATGACTTATCATGTCATAATTTCGACATTATATGTTTAGCTTTCAAAAAACATTTTTGAAAATGCTTTCAAATTTTGTTCAGATGTAGTGGAAGTGGGCTACCATAAATATCATAAATATGTCACTGGGAGTTTTTTTTACAGGCATAAAGTTTCATTATGAGCTCACTTGTCATCGCATGGATCAACATTCGAAATGTTTTATTTATTAGTTATTTAAAAGAAATTGTGACAAGCAAAACTCATAGAATAATAATATAATTCTAATTAAAATGATAATGTAAAATATTGTATAAGTAATGATAATAACATAATATTTAATATGTCAATACGTATCGTTTTTTTTTTTTTGACTATTTCATTTTGCATCACAGTAATGAGGATTGGACGGGGGTGCTTAAATGTCATGAAAATAATGTAAAATGCAAACATCCTTAATGGCCCTAAAATATACTTTTTCTTTAAGCAGTATTCAATTTTTCCTTAGACGGTTTTTACGGTTTGGGGGTGAAATATGTTGATGACAGATTTCTTGAAATTAACTTTTTACATTGGACTTTTATTTTGAAAATAACGGACTACTCATGGATCATTCGCACGTTTCTACCCAGTCAGCGTCTCTGGTACTATGTACTTCAACTGAAGTACTCTGCATAGACAACCAATCCCTCACATCCATACGGTTTCTATGCAAACATCTACAACTTTCAAGAAGCCTTCAGATTTTTATATCTAGGTTTTCAGAATGCAAATATTCACAACTGGAAGAAGCGTTAAGATTGAGAGAGAAATAAGCAACGCCGAGAGGAAAAAAATTGAGTTGGTAAGAATTTAGTTAATGTTTAAGTTCATGTTGAAGAACGATGTCATGACGCTTGTGAAACAGCTTTGCTTGGAACAGATTCTGGTGTGGATGCTGAGTATACATATACGGCATTAACAATATGACAATATTGTGATCAAGATAGGTGGTTCAAAAGTTATACGACAGAACAGAACATGTCACATTTCTGTGTAAATTAGGTGAACGAGCATGGGATGAATTTGGGCTGCATTGTTTAAAAAGCTTGGTGTTGTGGCATTTAGGTATGTGAGACGCGAATAGACAAGTAAATATGAGGTTTCACGACATTACAGATTCAAACGAATAAAACATTTATCTACTAATAGTGTGGGAAAAACGTAACGCCCGAACAGGGACTTGAACCCTGGACCCTCAGATTAAAAGTCTGATGCTCTACCGACTGAGCTATCCGGGCTCTGGGAGGTTTAGAGGACAGGGGCAGTTAAATCACTACAATTTCGTAACTGTCATGAACAGCAACCTCATAAATCATTACGATCATTGCAAAGAAGTAATCTGCATAATATTATCTGGACATATTCGGTAACCTACCATTAGAGAAATCCGTGACTAGAGGTCGCTGTTCATTATATGTTTGTGCAAGATCGCGCCTGGCGCATTTTTTTGTAACTTTGCGCGCGCCTCCGATTCCGAAGATGCACGACTTCAAGGCGACTCCGGCCGAAATCGTATAGGGTTAGATCCCTACCACAATTCTGCGCGCGAAAGATCAGATTTTCAGCGCACAAAAGTGCATTTTGTGCGCGATCTGAGTTTTGTGGAGAAAATGTTCGTTTCGCAAAGAAAAAAGTATTTCGAGCGCACTAAAATAAATTTTGCATTTAAAATAAGTTTTTGGACGTGTAGAGACCTCTTTTGAAGGTGAAACGTTTCACTAGCTTGCTCCCTTGATGCCTGCCCTCTCTTAAATGCCACAGCTGGCTTGCTCAACACAACCCAGTCTTACAATATGCCATAATTCCAGCCAATCAGAGACTCAATGCCTTGACAACCAATCACAACATTCCTTGCATTGCTGATGACAGCTGAAGAGGGAAAATACAGTGCATGTATAATTATTATACAAGTTGATATTCTGATTATATTTTTTTTCCAAGCACATTTGACCAATTCCAAACAACATCAATCTTAATAACTACTATAAATCTGGTATTTAATCACTTATAACCTATATATTATTGTTCATGAAGGCTGGAAGAGAAAAACGCCTTATATTCAGGTGTGCATAATTATTAAGCAGGTTATCTTCTACAGAAAAAAATCTCGAGATGGACTAAAAATGATGTTCGTTTCGCAAAGAAAAAAGTATTTCGAGCGCACTAAAATAAATTTTGCATTTAAAATAAGTTTTTGGACGTGTAGAGACCTCTTTTGAAGGTGAAACGTTTCACTAGCTTGCTCCCTTGATGCCTGCCCTCTCTTAAATGCCACAGCTGGCTTGCTCAACACAACCCAGTCTTACAATATGCCATAATTCCAGCCAATCAGAGACTCAATGCCTTGACAACCAATCACAACATTCCTTGCATTGCTGATGACAGCTGAAGAGGGAAAATACAGTGCATGTATAATTATTATACAAGTTGATATTCTGATTATATTTTTTTTCCAAGCACATTTGACCAATTCCAAACAACATCAATCTTAATAACTACTATGAATCTTGTATTTAATCACTTATAACCGATATATAATTGTTCATGAAGGCTGGAAGTGAAAAACTCCTTATATTCAGGTGTGCATAATTATTAAGCAGGTTATCTTCTACAGAAAAAAATCTCGAGATGGACTAAAAATGAACTCCCAAAACTTACTGCCAGATTCTGAAAGATAAATTCATTAAACAGTGGTACAAGAGGATGTGGTGCTGGTTCTTCAAGAGTCACTCTCAAATTATCTGTCTATAAAGCCTATATATATATATATATATATATATATATATATATATAAAATCAGTCTTCAAGTATTTTACTACACTTCAGTATGTGATTCTTATTAAGTAGGGGTAATTTTTTAGGTACTATACTTAACCTAAGTCTCTGAGAACCTGACACCTTTATTTCTGGAGACTCCAGGTAGGTTGCAGTTCTGGAAAATGGTGGCGCTGGAGACTAAATGGTTCCTGGTGATT